AGTTTAAAGTGTGATTTGAGCTGTAGTAAGAAGGATAAAAAAGAAAGACTTTCACAAGAAAAAAAGCAGCACAGACAAATAAATATATGGGTATGAATATTTCTGCCTACTGTTAAGACTGATAAGCTGTGGGCCTTACAGTTTCAGATGGACACTTTAAAGTTTCTCGTTTTGGCCTGTCCAGACCACAAGACAAATACTATGGCACATTATTCCTGTAAGTTCACCCTAGCACCACCCCAAGAGAGTGCCTCCTTAAATTTTGTACCCTGGTAGCTGCACTGGCCTCATGCCTCCCTTGAGAGAAGGACTCAATCTTGAATTGACAGTTATTAAATACTTAAATATTTTAAAACCCATTGTGTTCGATGAGGTCCCTTCCCCTTCTGGCGTGACCATGCTAATTACAGCATGCTCTGTGTGTAATGTGTCCCGTTTTGACATACCAGGCAGCAAATGTGGATATGCTTGGAATCATTCTTGACTCTTCCCCCTCCTCTCATATAACTAGCAGAATGGTGGTGAGACATCTTCCATCTTGTTTTTCTATGAAAGGGTGAAGTTAGGGGGAGCAGAACAGGAGAGAAAGAGCACAGCAGGCAGATGCTGTGGGGTGACAGTCATTGGCTGACTGATCTGTGAACACTTGTGAAAGACCCTCGGGTATTCTCTGGTATAACCGGTTGAGACTTGGAAACAATGGGCAGGTGGGAACAGAAGCCAGGGCAATTTAACTACAACGCATCTTTATCCATAGGGTGGTGGGGCCTGAGGAACCTGGTTTCTTACCTTTTCAGCATCACTTATGACTCCTCCAACACAACCCCCCTATGCCAATAGGTCTTTCCTCTAATCTTGAGAACACCAGATTCATTTCCACATGTATTCTTTTTTGCCCCCCCGAGATGGAGTCTTGCTTTGTTGCCCAAGTTGGAGTGCAGTGGTGAGATCTTGGCTCACTGAAACCTCCACCTGCTGGGTTCAAGCAATTCTTTTGCCTCAGCCTCCTGAGGGGCTGGGATTACAGGCACACACCGCTGCACCCAGCTAATTTTTGTATTTTTAGTAGAGATGGGATTTCACCATGTTAACCAGGCTGGTCTTAAACTCCTGACCTCATGATCTGCCTGCCTCAGTCTCACAAAGTGCTGGGATTGCAGGCGTGAGCCACTGTGCCCAGCCACCATGTGTACTCTTTTGCTCATATTGTCCAACTATCTACACATCCCTTCTCCCGTGCTTATTGTATCTCACCTGAGCAATCCTTCAAGACCCACTCCTATTTGCTATCTTTGTTTCAACCAGTCCCTGCCTCTGCTCTCAACATCTGCCACACTGCATTATCATCCACTTAGGCACTTAATTGCATGCTGTCTCATATCATTATTTCAATGTTTCCCAAGTATTCATCTTGCTTGCCTAACTTGACTGGTTCCCTCTGAGTTCAGGAACTTGGTCATGAATATCTGCTGTATTTTCTGTATGAGCCTTTATGCTTCCACAGATGGTAAAGGTTGATACCTACTGAATGGGTGGATAAAGAGATAGAACATAAATGTGGTGTTGGCACACTTCTTTATATATAATTCTGCCATAATGGCATCACTGATTTCTCATTATAACTCAACTTGTTTTGGTAGACTGGAGACAGACTTTTCTGATGTGTTCATGCTCTTACTCCATCACTGGAAAGGTATACAGTAGAGGGAAGATGCAAGTATACTGCCTACATAAGCTTTAGGAAGTCAAGCGCTATCACTTTATCCAGTTTGCCACACCAGAAAGAGGGAAATAATAGCAGTAGGAGCGATGGTAATGATTAAGAGGCATTGTGGTGATTGCTTCGCACCATCCATAGGCTATTTGTTTGTTTTCCTTAGCTCCTCTCAAAGCACATGGACTAACAGACTAATGCAAATGAATCGGCATAATTCCTTCTCCTGCTACTGTTATTGGTTCAGGGTGGGCGCTTGCCCCAACTTGAGGCCAAGGAGTATAGGGAGGATGTTTGCTTGCTGCTTCTGGGAAGAAGCATTTTTACTAAGTGAGGCTTTCCCAAAGCTTTGCTTTTTTTTTTTTCTTCTCTCTTTTTTTTTTTTTTTTTTTTTTTTTTTTGAGACAGGGTCTCACTCTATCACCCAGGCTGGAGTGCAGTGTTGGGATCTCAGCTCACTGCAACCTCCACGTTCCAGGCTCAAGAGATTCTGGTGCCTCGGCCTCCCAAATAGGTGGGACTACAGGCATGAACCACCACACCAGCTAATTTTCGTATATTTTAGTAGAGATGGGGTTTCGCCACGTTGCCAAGACTGGTCTTGAACTGCTGATCTCAGGCAGTCCATCCACCTCGGCCTCCCTAAGTGCTAGGGTTACAGGCATGAGCAACCACGCCCAGCCTTCCAAAGCTTTAGATGAAGCTGACACTGTGGAAACCTTGGCAGAAGATTAGAAAGAAACAAGGTCCTGGTGGCATTGTTTAGCAGGCAAATCAATGTATCCCTAAATTCCAACATCTAACCTAAAGTTAAATGAACTTTACCATCCAAGCCACTTAGAATTGGACTTTTAGTTACTTGCAAACAATTTAGTTATTTGCAACCAAATATAACTAACGCATATGTAATAACCACAACGATAATAATATGTGCACTACAAACTCACAGAATAATTGGGAAAGTAAAAGCTAATCACAGATGTAAAACTGCTGTGCCTACTTTATTATGCAAATATTTGTTGCTGAGAGCCTCTTGGTTAAGATACCTTCCCTCAAGAGACAAAACTTGAAAAGAATCTTAATGTGGAGGACTTGGGTTGTTCATATGGGGATTTAAAAAAAAGTCTCAACAGTTTATCAGAAAGCTTAAGACATTAAGATTCAAGCTGAACAGAACAGGAAATGTGGCAGATACTGTACATGACAAACTTTCTAGAAGGAAATGATTTACATAAAAGCTGGTGCCCAGCACAGAGTAAGTGCTAAATAACTCTGTTTTTAAATGTTATTTGAAAAAGAAAAAAAGATTAATCATCCATGGTACAAAATTTAAAAGTTACATAACTGTGGAGTCTTGCGTCTTCCCTGACCCCCACCTCCAGTTATCCAATATATTTTTCCAGAATTAGTCTGTTCATAACATATATATATAATTTTTTTCTCACAAATGTCAGCATCCTATACACTGTTCTGCATTTTTTTTAAATCACATAATGTATCTTGAAGGTCTTTCCATATCAGTGTCTAGAGAGCAGTCTATTTAAGAGCTGCAGAGAACATCAAGTATGGCCCAATCACAATTTATGTTTCTACGAATTTAACGGGTTTTATTGTTGGACATTTAGACAGTTTCTGGCTGCTTGGGATGTGCAACAATGATGTAATGATTATCCTTGCAGGGACTTCATTGCACAAAACCGGAAGCCTATCTGCAGGATAAATTCTGAGTTGCGGAGTTGGTGGTTTACAGGGCAGAGGTACAGTCGCTTTATCTTAATTTTTGAATTCACGAATGTTGAATTTGATGAATTCGTGGGAAGCCCCGCGGGGCGCCTAAACAGCTCTCCAGAGGCTGCGGTTGTCACGGATGATTGCGGGACCCGCAGACTGAGTCTCCCGGTGCTCCGCCCCGCCGCGCCCCGCCTCCCGTCCCACCGCCGACCCGCCCCTGCGAGCGCCCGGCCAGGAGCCCCTCGCTGGAGGACGAGGCACGTGCGATTCCACGTGAGCCTCCCGGGTAGCGCGCAGATGGGAAGTGCGCATGCGCCTGCCGCCGGAAAGTAGGTCAGACTCCTCCTCTCACGTGACCTGCTCCCCTTAGCTACCCTCGGCGCCTCCCCGCCAGGGAGCAGCCGGGATGCGCTCGCAGCCAACGTGACGGGGCCGGGCGCGGGCGGTTCGGCGAGCGCCCAGCGCCCGCGAGGATTTGCCGGTTCTCTTCCCACCCAAGCGCTCCGCTCAGAAGTCGGGCGGGCAAAAGGGAGCGCCGCGCGAAGTATCTGGGAGCCGGGCTGGAAAATGAATGGGGTCAGAAAGCGAGCTCAAATCGCTGATATCTGGCGCAGGGCTGCGTCCACTTTCAAGCTTTCTAAGGCAGATCTGCCTGCAAGAAGGAAACGCGCATCGCCTTTCAGTATACATGAATTCACACCGATCGTTTGCACGTTTGCAGTCCCAGTTTGTGCACTATGTAGAACAACTCAGGCATGAAAACGAACTTTGCAAGAAGAAGTGGAATGCTGATGGTTCCTGGAGTTTTGCGGGAATATTCCCCTGGCCCCAGTTCTAGTCTCCCACTCACTCCCTCCCCAAAGACACTCCTACTAGAAAGCTTGATTTCCTACCTTCCACAAGAGACTTGAGGGGCGATGTTGCTGCTGCTGTTGCTGCTGGCGACTGGAGAGGGTTGGGGAGCAGGAAATGAAGGCAGGTCTGAATTAGCTGAAGCTAAATTCTATATATCAGAAATAATTTTATTTCTTCACCTTTGCTTTCTGATTTTTAACTTGTTGCACAAATGACAGACTCCGCCTCAGTGAATTGCAATCCGGTGGGGGACACTAACTTGCAAAATTAACAGGTTACAATGCAGTGGGCTTTACATGTTTTAATAGAGGTGTGCCTAGGTGTTATATAAGCTCAGTGGTGGGTACCCTGAGTCTTGAAGACTAAGTGGGAGTTAGCTGACAGAGGAATAAGGCAGAAGGGGTGGAAAGTGTTCCAAACAAAGGGAACTACTAATAGTTACATAATATTTCCCCCAAGAAGTTTTTACTATACATATCTTAGCCATGCATATGGTTGGAATATGTGTTGTTTGGCTTACATTTATGTTATTCTAAGACAGTCTTGAATGAACATTGTTGTGCATGAGGCTTCCTCCCACCACTTTTAATAACCCCTAGGAGTTGGGATTGCTATATAAAAGATACAAACGTTTTGTAACTTTCGATAAAGTATTGTCAAATTATTTTCAAAAAAAAAGTTGAACTAATTTGTACCAATATTTAGCCTTCAGAAGGAAAATTGCCCATTATTTATTTCAAATCAATGAAGCCTTGTGAAATTAACACTTGATTCACTAGAACTCCAGAATCATGATAAACATGCATTTCTGCTTTGTATGACCCATGATAAAAGTCTAATTGAATTCAGGTTTACAAATTGGAAAATATCAGATCTGTACATTTAATTCGTACAGGGAACACCCAGCATGGACAAGGCGGGAGTTGGGGACAAGAGTGAAAGTGGTACAAACTAAAGCCTCACCAAATGCCTGTCTCTGATTGCTCCTTTCTTACCGTACATCAAGGGTGAAAGAGAAAGCAGCTCACACAACCCAGAACAAGCAAAGAGGTTTTCACACCCCTCTGCAAATGTCAAAATCAAAGGGACCTAGGGTTTGACCCAAGAGGTCACTTTAACTTGCAGGCAAAAAGCTGATCAGGTGTTGGTGAATTTCTGGAAGCCTGCTTGCTTCCTCAATCGATTTCTGTTGGCATCTGTACCTGCAAGAAAAAAAAACAGTACTGTGAAGAATGTATCTTGTTTTTTGCCTGTATTAAGCTAGATCATTAAGGAAATCTGAAGCATGGGACAGAGTTATAACTTTTCAAACACATGGCTGTAGCTCATACTCTGGCCATTTTCCTAATATCTATCCTTCACCTTGCATATCAATCTTATTATTTCAGCTGGTGGGGGTGCTTACCTCCTCTCTGAGTTCAGGGGTTTTGGACTTGACCAAATTAACAAATAAGGGATTGCTGTTTGTTTTGCTTTGTTTGGGTTTTATGTTTGTTTATTATTTGCTTTTAAAATTTTATTATAATAACATTTAACATGAGATCTACCCTCCTCAAATTAAGTGTAAAACAAATTATTGTGGATGGTAGGTGCAATGTTGTACAGATTTCCAGAACTTATTTATTTTGTTTGACTGAAACTTTATGCCCAATGATTGGTAACTCCCCTTTTCCTCCTCACTCCAGCCCCTAGAAACCACCATTCCACTCTTTGAGTCTTTGAATTTGACTATTTAAAATTCCTCAGCTAAATGGAATCATGCAGTGTTTGTCTTTCTGTGACTAGCTTATTTCACTTAGCATAACATATGCAAGCTTCATCTATCTCATTTCATATTGCAGAATCATGCGGAAGATGCACTTGGAAGAGTGCCTGGCACATATTAAGGGTACATTAAAAATTAGTTGTTATTATTATTAGGGTTACAATGACTGACTCAATCAGAGGAAAGCCTGGACTTGTTATAGTTACTTGATGCCATCCTTTCTTCTTGGGTAGAAATAGAGAAGCATGTATAACTACTGATGCCATCTTTCCACATTGAGAGGAACCAACCCAACCACACGCCTGATAAATAGGGAGAAGCAGAGGAAGCCACACCCTGATCAAACTGCACTTGAAGCCTGTACTACCTCTTGACCTTTGAGCTGTTTGAGCTAAATGCATCCCATTTGTTATTTTAGAATTGGGTTTTCGGGTATTTGCCAACACAGACATCCTGATTCCTGGCCTTCATTTTATTTTTTTAGGCAGGGTGTTACTCTGTCACCCAGAATAGAGTGAAATGACATGATCTCAGCTCACTGCAGCCTTGACCTCCCAGGCTGAAGCAATCCTCCCACCTCAGCCTCCCAAGTAGCTGGAACTATAGGCGTGTACCACCATGCCTGGCTAAGTTTGTAGAGACAAAGTTTTGCCATGTTGCTCAAGCTCAAGCAATTTGCCCACCTTGGCCTTGAACTCCTGGGCTCAAGCAATTTGCCCTTGGCCTCCCAAAGTAACGGGATTACAGGCATGCACCACCATGCCTAGACCAGGTTTTCATTTTCATTTTAACTAAAGGGTCGAAATGATGACACAGACACTCCATTTTGAGCATGCAGTTGTTAAAGAGTGGAATTAAATTTCACATCCATATCAAATGAATGAAACATCCAATGTATTAGTTTGCTAGAGCTGACATAACAAAGTACCACTGACTGGGTGGCTTAAAAAAACCTTTATAGTTTTACAGCTCTGGAGGCTAGAGGTCCAAAATCAGCACATCAACAGGGTAGGTTTCTTCGGAGTCTCTCCTGGCCTTGTAGATGGCCGTCTTCTTCCTGTTTCTTCACATGGTCTTCCCTCTTCATGTGTCTTTGTCCTGATTTCCTCTTCTTATGAGAATACAAGTCATATTGGATTAGGGCCTGCCCCAATGACCTCGTTTTAACAAAATTATCTCTTCAATGACCTTATTTCCAAATATAGCCACATTCTGAGTACTGGGAGCCAGGACTTCAACATATGAATGGGACAGGGGAGGGGACACAATTCAGCCCATAACATCCAACAAGGCATTAATGATATGATATCGATGATTTGATACCAGAACTTTACCCTGATACAAATGTTCTTCTCCAGGTTTTTGTTTAGGGGCCAGAGAAGGAAGAGAGATTGAGAATAGGAAAGCTCCTCTCTGAGAATAGATCCAGAAAAACAGCATGTAATGAAGATTTGGCTAAGCCTACTCTCAAATATCTGTTCTGGAAGGACAATTCACATTGATAACAGGAAAGCTTATATAAAAATAACCTTGGTTATTTCACTTTTTGTGAGCCTCTGTGAGGACGGGCAACTTTGCTGAAGAATCTGTTACAGGCTGATCTTTTTTTCTCTGTTAACACTTCTTAGCTAAAGTTTTGGTGTTTTATTGAAGAATGGAATCTCATTTCTGGACATGGTTGAACAGCTGTTTCTGTGTTCTTTCTAATTTCAGTGAGGCAAGGTTCCAAAAAGGAATAGAAAGCTTGGTTTGCATTCTGAAGTTGGCCGTGGAATTGAATGGTTTGTACTGTAGGAAAAAGCTGTGTGACACAGAAGTCACTTCCCCACGTTGGTCTCAGTTTCCCTTAATGTAAAATAAAGCAGTTGGACTCCATGATTTCAATGTTGTGTCCATCTATTCACCATATGATTAAATGGAAAAAAAAAAAAAGTATTTTGGTTTATTTGTTGGTCTTTGTTAGTAAAAACTGAGGCCGGGAGCAGTGGCTCACGTCTGTAATCTCAGCCATTTGGGAGGCTGTGGTGGGCGGATCACCTGAGGTCAGGAGTTCAAGACCAGCCTGGCCAACAAGGTGAAACCCCATCTCTACTAAAAATACAAAAATTAGCCAGGTGTGATGGCACATGCCTGTAATCCCAGCTACTTGGGAGGCTGAGCCACAAGAATTGCTGGAACCTGGGAGGCGAAGTTTGCAGTGATCCGAGACCGCGCCACTGCACTCCAGACTGAGTGATAGAGCAAGAATCTGTACCCCCACAAAAAAAAGTCCCTGCATTTATCATTCCCAAAACCCTTTCCTAGCATTCAAGTGTCTATTAAACTCCATCTACATCAGGTATTCATGGCAGACAAGTAAGGTACATTTCTCTGAGAATCAGATGATCCATATCTCATCCATTGTTGAGAACATCTGCCCATCTTTATCTCACTGCATAAATTTGTTTTTCTTCCAGTGAAGAAAGAGACAGGGAAGAATAACTGTTGGTAGTGGGAGCCAGCATTGGAAAGAAAATATTTCATTATTGCTACTGAGTGTACTAAAGATACACACCTGGCTCCAGCCCAGAGGTTTGTAACCAGGGAAGCACATCAAAATTACCCATGAAATTTCTAAAAGCACATGTCTGTAACTCTACCTCTCAAAATTTTGAATCAGTAAGTCTGAAGAAGGGCCTGAATCTGTAGGAAATTCCTACAAATATAATGGTATAAGTTTGCTCTAACCATTTCCTCATTTCCATTAATTCATTCCCAGGTCCTTTTAGTCAGTTATACCAAAACATCTTGTATTGCATATTATTGGAAATATACCTATATTTAAAAGGAGCAACTCTTTCTTTCCCAAAGTTACATATTAAGTGTTTTAGTTGGTTGTAAGAAACAAAATTAAGTACTCCAGAAAATTTTACCTGATTTGCCATCCAAATGCAGTTAGCCTTTCTGAAACTAGATATATGTTTTGCTACAGAGATTATGTATTGTAAACAGCAACAAAAACTTTCTATGGTATTTGCAATAAATAGAGAGTAATATTTGATATCAGTGTTCTTTGTTAAATCACCGAGGTACATTCTGAAATTACAGCCCTAAAATAATAAGAGACTTGATTCAGCCAACCCTCCTGGTGGGTTTATTTAAGCAAATTGTATTTGTTTGCTGAACTGTGAATTAAACAGGTTTTAACCTTCCATTCCTTCAGACTTGCATTTCTGTAGCTGCATATGGAATTTGTTCATATTAGACTCTAGTTAAGAGCATTCAGGAAGAGAAAAAGAGGAAACATTACTCAAAGCACAGAAACACAAAGAATTGCCCATTTCCTTCAGAAGTCCAGTTCTTAGAGCAGTGGAACAAACCAAGGTTTTGCAGTTAAACAGAACAGCCTTGGCCCCTAGCTCCCTCTTGCCACTGTCAGTCTACATGTGCAGCTCTCCTTGTGACTTTCCCTTCAGGACTCTTATCTGAGCAATGGTGGTAATCACACTCACATGGCAGGTGGCTGTGAGGATCAGAGTAAATATGATGCATGTGAAATGCCTGGCACGTAATGGGCACCCTCAAATAGTTGCAGGCATCGTTTTTATTATTTTCTTAGGAAAAAAATAGATGTAAACAAGCCAGGATTTACTTTTTTTTTTCATAGTTTTATATTGATGAGATAAATTCAAAAAGAATTTGACTAAATTTGGAAGGCTCATATTTGCCTCTTTGTAAATGGAGATGCCAACTCTGAAGTGGCTGCTTCTCTATAGATGAAGCACAAAATGTTAAGGTGTTTGTGACATTTTCAAAGGCATCAAAAGAAACCCTTACAATGCCTTTGAACTACACATTAGCTGTGAATTGATGGCTTCACTTGAAATCTAATGAAAACTCAAACTCTCTAGATTTGAGTTGCTGTTACAATTTGGCACAATCTTTTTGAATGTGGGGGAAATGTATCCAAATAGGACATGTAGTGTTTGAAATGTCTCAGGTCTTATAGAACCTAAGATTAGTAAATACAAAGCAGGTGGCTATGAACTGTACCTAGTTGTTGTAAGGGAATGGGAGAAGAAAACTGAGCCCTTAAAAAGATTAACCTATTCAGGTTCTGAACCTGCTTGGGGACACTCATATATCAACCTAAGTGTCCAGATAAGTGGAAGAAGAAAGGAAGGAAGGGTTGTGATACTAAGATCAGATATTCAAAATCAAGGGGAGATTTTATAGTTATGAATGGTCCAGTCCCCAAAGAAGATATAACTATCATAATTTTTTGTACTAACATAGCAAAAAAAAACACAACTAATATAGTTGAAATAATATATCTATACCAGCTGTTTCTTCTATAAATAGAGAATACATTTTAAGTGCTGAAACATTTGTAAGAATTACCTTTTTTCATAATTTTGTATCAGTGAGATAAATTCAAAAGGAAATGGACTAGATTTGGAAGGCTCATTTTTGCCCCTTTGTCTTACTATGTCCCTAATATCACATACTGGGACACAAATAAACATTTGATAAATTATCAGATATGGGCATAGTGTTATCAATGGTTGACTCTGAAGATGAGGTTCCAAGTGATCTTGATTTTTTTGTGTTCTTTTATATTGTTTGAATATTTTATAACCAACGTTTATCATTTCTATAAGGAAAAATAGGTTCTTTTCATCAAAAAAAAAATACCTACTATTCCTGAACACTTAATATGTTTAGGTGCAGATATTAAGCATGTGTCCTGATACATTTCATTTCATTCTCACAACAGCCTCTGAAGTAGAATTGCAAAGATTGATAGTTTCTCTCCCCACACATGTCTTTTCTCTACTACTTCTATAATCATAGAGGATTTAGGTAGGCATGTGCCACCCTGCTGAAGACTACATTTCCCAGCTTCCCTTGCTGCTAAGTGTGGTCATAGGATGATTAATTGGATGTGAGTAAAAGAGATGTGTTCAATTTCTGCTCCCTCTCCACCTTTTAACCTTTCTTGCTGCTAGAACATGAACCCAGTGAACATGGTCATGAACCCTAGTCAACAAAGCTGAAGACAGCCACCCTTTAGGAGATGGAGACTAACAAGAGAGAAGAAACCTGTGTGCCTAGTACCATGGAACCCCAGAGCAGCTGTGGACTGTTTATAATCAGACCGTTATGCAGGGAGAAATAAACTTCATATTGTTTAAACTGTTAATTTGGTATCTGTTAAAGCAGTAAAATTAATCTTGTTATTTTACATTGTGTTGCTTTTCTTTCAAGAAACATAACATGCACATTATGTTTTACAATGATAATTATTAAAAATATTTGGACTTTATTTTAGGTTGAATATATTTTAATGCTCACCAATAATGCTTATATGCCTCAACATCATAATCATGCTCAGGGCCCCTAATGATATCTTTCCATTCCAGAGAAAACATACAGATGATATTTTTCCACAGTTCTTACATGCTTGAATGACAATTTGACTGCTTTTAGAATTCTTGAGTCATACTCTTTTCCCTTTAAATCTCTAGGGATTGCTTAAAAAAAACATCTACTGGGCTAAAGGGAGAGTTGAGATATTTGAGAGCAGCCTAATCATTTCTTCTTTTAAAATAACCAACTTTTCTACTAGGGTACCTGTGGATTGTAAACTCTAGATAAACAACATCATAAATGTGACAGCATTGGTCAATATTTAATCATTTTTAAAGAACATGGTAGCCTCTTCAATGTGTAGATTTCTGGTTGCTGTCATTCTATTTCCTTATTATATCATTTAATTTTTCTTTTTATTCAGTTATCATCTTCAGAAACATCAACTGTTATCTAACTGATTCATCCCTTCAACAAGTGTTAAGTAAATGTTGACTTTCAAGTGCTGGTTCTTAATATTACTGTGTGCCAGGCATTGTTCTAGGTACCAACACTAGAATAATGAACAGGATAGAAAGCATTTCTACTCCATGGAGCATATCTTTTAGTGGCAAGAGAAAATAAGCCAAGAGAAGAACTAAGCAAGATAATTTCAGATAGAGATATGTTTTAGGAAGAAAAATCAGGGTGATATGATAGCATGACTGCCATGGACCTGCGGATTAAGGAAACTTCATTGAGCTGAACCCTGAGTGACTTGAAGAAGCCTTTA